GTACCCCCCCCCCCCCCCCCGCCCCCTCATTAACACGCCTCACGTCCGTCCCACATACCTCGGTAGTCTTGGCTCTAGCCGCCGTCGCCGCTGCCGCCGCCGCCGCCGCCGCAGGCCCGCCGTTCGCCCCCGCCCCCACCCCAGCACCCCCCCCAGCTAGTGCCTGGACTCTCGCCGTTGCCGCCGCCACGGCGGCAGCCGCTGCTCCGCCGCTGATAGCAGCGGCGCTGGCGTGAGCGCCGTTGCCGTTGGTGCCGGCGGAGGCGGGTCGCGAGGCCTCTGGTACTGTCGTCTGCCGCTGCGCCGCCTGTACCGCCTTCGCCCTTGCCTCCGCCAGAATCCTCGCGAGATCAGCCATCTATTGATAAGAATATTGCAGGGCGGGGTGGCGTGGGGGTACCCATGTAACCGCATGCCGTAGTCGCTAGACCATTGGGCTTGCACCCCTACGATGCCGGGACGGAGCGATATGCCGTTTTTTTCGGCGGCCCAGGCTCGAAGCGCCGTAAGGGGGGGGGGGGGGTACCTAAAGAGTTCGTTCTTTGCCCCCTGGTCTTCGGGACGTAGCAAAATATCTCCTTTCAACTCCCTGATGGTTCGGGGCCGGCCACTCCTGGCTGTTGANGGGGGGGGGGGGGGGGGGGGGTACCTAAAGAGTTCGTTCTTTGCCCCCTGGTCTTCGGGACGTAGCAAAATATCTCCTTTCAACTCCCTGATGGTTCGGGGCCGGCCACTCCTGGCTGTTGACTTCTCTATGTGAAAAATGGAGGGAGAGGGTGATGGGGGCAGTCGAATAAAACTCCGAGCTGCTGCCGTCCTAGTCTTCGAGGGAGGTATCTCTTGCAAGCACGTCGCTTTGCGCGCGGAGTGGTGAGATGGACGGGTGCGTCCGAGAGGAATCAAGAGCGTAAGGTCGTCTGTCCTCGGCAGAGAGAGCAAGTAGATGGTCTGCAATCGACGCGCTTGGAAAACTTGTCAAACAAGCCCTGGGTTCATTCCGAGTGCGAACCGCAGAGGAGTTTCAGCTTTACAAGTGCAGCACTGCAGTTTGAATTAGAACCTCGTTGCGGCTGTTCACGATCTCAGGGAGAGTGTCCAGAATAAACGCTTAGCCTCGTTGCAAGCTAGCAACAACACACAGCTTGGAATCGCTATGGCGTGTTTGTCAACTGATTACACTACAAGTATTGTCGTTAACATAATACTATGCGTCGGGTGCGATGAGATCCGTGATAACTGCTGGACAACAAGGGTTGTGTTGTACCGAAGCTCCCTCTCTCTCCTCTCCCCAGCTTGGGTTGGCAGCGCGAGTGTCCGCGAGCCGCGGTGCGCAAAACAAACGAAACACGAAGTTGCAACAATAGGAGACAAAAAGCGCCCCCCGCCGCAGAAGTCGTCCACAGCCCACGGGCCCTAAATGAACTACTGCTACTTCTGCTGCTGCTGCTGCTGCTGCCTCTGCCGCGCATCCGTGCGCAAACCATCCTTACGGGCCAACGCCGCCCGAGCGGGGCAACACGGATTGTTACATGGTCAACAAAAGTTCCCGCTGAGGATCCAATATGTTGAAAATGAACATGCAAACACTGGTGCTGCTCCCCCCCACTCCCTGGGCTTGGGCATAACGACGACTGCCTTTTTGTCGCTGCAATGAGCTTGCTCTCACCTCGTCCCCTGGCGCCGCCTGAGCCGGGGGAGGCGGGGCCGCTGCCGATGGCGGGCCGCTGCTCGCAGGCGGGGGTGCCTCATCGACGGGTGCGAACCTGTTGCGTCGGCGTCGCCGCTGCTCGCCACCGTTTTTCACGGAGGCTACCGCACCCTCCGCCTCTCTCGCCCGCTTCCGCCCTGCCGACTCCATCCCAAACGATGGCGTAACGTAGCGCCGCCCCTGACAACGTGTTTACGGTGCTGCCTGCGCCGACAACCTGCGGCACACGCACCAGGATAAGACCCGAGGGCAACCGTCAAGTGGTGGACGCGTAGTCATAAAAAAAAAAGGTTTTGCTTTAGGTTCTGCGTCTCTCCCCATGATGCACTACACACGTGCAGGCCACCAGCAGTGCCCGCTTGACATCGCATTCCATGGTTGCTTTTCTGTTTTTCTCAAGGAACGCAGAGTCGTACACGAAACGAGTGTGTACGGGAGGGGGGGTGAGAAAGAAAGAGGTACCATACGGGAGCATCGATCCTGTTGTTCTTAGTCCGTCGCTTCACGTACCTGGTCTGGAACGCGGATGGCAAGGCCACCGTCACAAGACCTTCCACCTCAATAATAATCTCGTTGCCGCTTCTCTCCCTTCTCCCTCCCTTGGTCAACGTGCTTCCGGCCCTGTCCACTCCGCCGCCCTACGGGCTCGTTTGCCGACCCCCCCGCGATACTCAACATTCCACGGGGCTCCTGCGGGCGAACAGGCCAAGACAAAGACCAGCATCGTGTCTGATCCACACGGTACGCCATGAACCGCAGGAACTCGAAAGGGGGGGGAAAGAAGCCTCGGGTAGAGGTGTTGTTCGACCCTGATGCGAGAAAGTGAGTGAAAGGATGTCATAATCTGCGTGACATGCCATTTGATACGCACACACCCACGACGTGCTACAGCAGCTCTGCTCGTGCAAGCAATCAAGCGAGCACACCAAGCCATTCAAAATTGTAGCAGCAGTGCCTGATGCTGCCCCAACTCGCGTAGAGATAATGTGTGCATTGGCCGTCACCAGAATGTGCCTGTCCACTCTACGCAGTAAATTCTTGTTATTGGTCGGAGAACAGGGCTGATGATGCACTGACGCCGTACTCTAGTAAGTACATTGCAGCATCAGTGTCCCGCTGGGATAGGAGCAGGGACGAAATATGCTGGCGAACGTAGCGACGTGTTGAACCAGCTGCCGAGCAGTGTCGTGTGCAGGGAGTCTGTGGTGCATGTCCCGAAGTCAAGAGACGGACGTTCTCGCTTGCCTGACCTTTCCAGAGTCCCCTACTGCTGCTGAGTAGCTTGTGTGACTCGGCGTGGGGTCCCGTGGTAGGGAATAAAAGAGCCAGCATTGTGGAAGCCTTCTTACTTTGTGGTGGAGTGTGTCAGCTCGGGTATGATATCTCTGCACGTGGCGTGGAAGCCCGGTGGCGTGGAAGCTGTAGTGTACAGGTATTTGCAAGGACGTGGAAGTCCTGGAGGCGTGGAAGCCGGATGGCGTGAAAGCCGGCGAAAAGGACTTTGTTTATACACAGGAAAGAAACCACAAAACACCAATTCCGTTGCACACACACACACCATCAATCCTGCAATATGCGGCAAGGTTGGTACCACCAAATCGAATCCATACTGTTGAACCCCCAAACTCCCCGCTCCATCTGCTCGGAAAGTTCTTGCTTGTAATATTCTGTCGATGCTGTGAGTACATCCAACAGCCTCCCTACTCGCTACATTGGCAAGATTACACCCGGACGTGTAACTATCCTTCCTACACTCCCACACCAAACACCTGGAAACAAAATTTTAGTGCTTGACATTCCCTCGATCTCATGCTTCATTCTTGTCACAACACCGGAGACCTTTTAATTAGAAACACTCGTTAGAAGTCCCATCGGTTTGAAACTACTTACAACCATCACACCGGACACACGGTCGCCCCGGTGGTCTATTGGGTAGCCTCGCAGCCCGCTACGGGCCAGGTCATGGGTTCGAGTCCCGGCAGAGAGAGATTTTTCTCACTAAATAAGTCCTTGTCTAGGATGAAAGCGACGCGCTGCAAAGCTCGTTTGTTAGTAAACCATAATCGACTTCGTAAGGCGCGAGGGAAGAGATTGCTGTATCCTTCTCGCGATACAAATACCTCAGGCATGAACCGCAGGAGGGGGTCCAACCCCCCCCTCCTATGTGACCCCGGTTGGGTCGTCTAGCTAGTAGAAGTGGAGGATTGGGGCCAAAGGGGCAGACGACAGAGTCCAATGATGGGAGAAAAACAAACAAACAAAACAAACTTGCAAGAATTTCCACTTTCCATCGGTGAACCTTGACTTCAAATTAGCAGAAAATCAATCGAAAGAACAACAGAAAGAAAAAAAGGAAATCTCCGGGATTGCTCACTCCAAGTTCATCACATAGTCCCTGAGGAACGCAAACTCCCTCTCAGGTAGCGCCTTCGTGAGGAAAGACAGACGCCTGGGCATCCCTCCTGCCGCTCATGTACGCGTGGAGCTCGTTGTAGGGGGCGAGGAAAATCATTGCGCAACTTGTGACAGTCGGAAATCTCGTGTGTGCTGTTGGGCCGTGGTACTGGCAGAAGTGCGATGGCTGCTGCTGTTGTGGCTGCATCGACGTCTGTGGCTGCTGCGGCCGCTGTCCGCCTTGATCCGATCCGGCAGCAGCTGGTTTCCTCGCCCCGCCGCCCCGACCCATACCGACAGCGACGAGGGCGTGCCTCGTCTCCTCCTTCCTCTCTCCAGATCTCCGCTCACACCTCTGCTCGTGCTCGGCCATCCCCAGCGTCTCCTGCAAGTTTACCCTCAACATCATCGGATGACACAGAACGCAATCTTGAGTCTTTTCGAACTCCGGCAGAAATCCCCGAGCCATGTGCTTACACATAGATTCATCTCTATTGTCCCTATACGACCTAAGCCTCATCCACAGAGCTACAGTCCTACCGAAAAAATTCATTAGACTTTCTCCTTGCCTCTGGCTTAGCACATTCCATTCGTCGCCAAGGTTCTGGCATTCCTGGCCCTGACTCTGGCTATACTGCTGGAGAAAGACATGTCCTGCTTGAGGTGACTCCGATGCAAAATTTTGCGCTTGCACAGGTTGGGCTGTAGTCTTTGCTAGCGTAAAAGTCCAGCTCTTTCTCGAGTTCCTGACTCTCTCCTCTCCAAGCGATCTTGCCAACCAGTTAAGATCCACACCAACTCCATGTACGGGAACCTCTGGGCCCCTCATCTCATCGGCAAGTCTTCATTCTCTACCCACGCATCGAATGCACTCGTGAAGCGCAGGCAACGTCACCTCGATCGATCTGTGCTTGAGGAAATCATCATTCCAAACTGGGACTTGTATGTTCTCTCGCTGTCTCAGTTCTACAGTCTGGGCACTAGACATGCCTGAATGGGCACGGTGCCCCTGATCCTTCGAGGATGCCGCGAAAACCTGCCTGAAGAGGTCAGCCAGCGTCCGCAACGTGTCCTGCTGACCTTTCCCCCCCACCGCTCTCGCATCTCCCGGTTTTCTCGTGCATCGTCGGCGAAGAATCTCTTCTTGCGTCCTCAACGCCTTCCCCGGGGGGAGGGTTCCCATGACCTTGTCCTCCCAGAGGCTGTTGTCCGTCTCCGTCCGGCATCTTGCGCGCGTAGACACAGCACTTGATTGGACGTTAGCGTGTTGAGTAGCTTGTGTGGCTCGGCATGGGGTCCCGTTGTGGGGTATAAAAGAGCCAGCAACGTGAAAGCCGCTAGCGGTAAATGCAAACTATCCACAGGCGTGGTAGCCTTCTAGTTTGTGGTGGAGCGTGTCAGCTCGGGTGTCATATCTCTGGATTTGGCGTGGAAGCCCGGTGGCGTGGAAGCCGTAGTGTACAGGTACATGCAAGGACGTGGAAGCCGGGTGGCGTGATAGCCGGATGGCGCGAAAGCCGGGGAAAAGGACTTGATGATACCCAGGAAATAGTAAGAGAGTGAGAAGCCATAAACCACAAGCAACAATTACGTTGAAGACACCCACACCATGAATCCTGCAATATGTGGCAAGGTTGGTACCACCAAATCGAATCCATACTGTTGAACCCCCAAACTCCCCGCTCCATCTGCTCGGAAAATTCTTGCATGTAATAATCCTGTCGATGCTGTGAGTACATCCAACACCTACAACCAACCCCTCAATGTTCTCACAAAGTGCCCTTGACCGCCCCCCCCTCGTACCGTAGGGACTACCTGACTGGCTTTCACAAGCGAAAGCAGGCGAGGCGGCGGTTCGGGTTAGCCATGCAGGAGATTAAGGACCGCAAGGAGCGCCTGGAGGAGCGAAAGGAGGTGAGAAAGGCGCCCACTGCCCCGACATATTACATGCGTCGATTGTCGCGAGCGGAACTTGAACAATCCGCACACGCCTCCGCCCGCGAGAAATTCTTTCGGGGAACCGCAGACGGCAGGACGACTACCATCCCGTCCGTATGCATGTGTACAGTACAGCGTGGACTGCTGCTGTCTACTGCTAGTATGCCGACTACTGTGCGTGTATAGGGGGGGGGGCGTGGCGTGCACCTGTGTGCCCCTTTGGCTGTTGCGCGGAATTTCGAAACATCTCGGAGGCGGTTTCACGTTCAGAGTTCGATTTTGGAACACTTCTGCCCGAGAGGCACTCCCTCCCTCGCTGTCAACCGCGAAACTCATCACTACCATTTCAGACGCTCCGGTTCCCAGATAAACATGGCGCCTATCAGAGACATCCCCCCCCCTCCCGTGCACCTGACACCCTGCGGGCCGCTAACAGAGGCGTGAAGCGATGAAGGAGCGGCGGGAAGAGCTCGGGGTGCAGGAAGACCTGGGGTCATTCGACATTAAGGCGAAGGCCAGGGAAAACGCCAAGGCTAAGGCTGAGGAGCTGGTCCAGGTGGACTTCGAGGACGGCCACACACAGGCGAGAGAGATAAGCGAGTCTTGCTTGCTTGCTTGCAAGGGTTTCGATTTTATGAACAGCGATTGTTTTGTTTGTTGCACTGCCGCCCTCAGCGGTCTGTAGTGTTGAGGCTGGGTGCTATGTTATCCCAGGAACAGCAGATGAAAAGGACCCATGTATTATATGTCCGACACGCAAGCCCCTTCAGGCAGGTGCCAGGAGCACACCACCGTGCGCTCTCTCGGGGGGCCCACACTTGGCCCCCAACCGCATACATACCCATCACACACATGCTTCCTATACGCGTATCCCCCACAGAGGACGCACACATCGGCCTCATATCCAAGTACCAAAAAGATGTTTCCTTCATTTATTGGCATCGACCGCGTTAACCGGCTGACGAATGAAATGTCGCCAACCTCAGTGCGGCTGAAAACGAAAACGCGTTGGTAACGGTGGGATACTGTATGAATCCTTAACCTTTCGTGTAGGCAGCAGCTTGATCAGTCGCGTCCGTTGCATATGAACCCTAATCCTCACGAGTAGGCACGGTAGCTTTAGACTGATCGGGACTTGATCCGTCTCGCCTCTCCGTAGGTGCCTGAGCAGGGCCCGCACTCTCAAGTATGATGGGGAAATACGCCACCGGACACCCAATGTTCAGCTCCCATCTCTTTCTACCCAGAGCTGACGGGGTGGGCCGCGTGACTTAAACCCGCTCACAACCGCCTATTTTCACACTCCACAGCGGCCTACCCCCCTGTCCTACCCGACCCCCCCCTTATGACGACTGTTTTATTTCGTCTTGCCTTGACACGCATCCGCGCGTTTTGCACCTCCGCCCCTCCCACCCGCCTGTCGACGCGTCTTTACCCGCACAGGCGATGTTTGGGGACACCGTCACCGTCACCACCGTGGTAGGCATTCCCGACAGCGACGACGAGGAGGATGCGAGAGAGACGGCGAGATTGGAGAAGGAGCTCCTCCAGGAGAAGAAGCGGAAACGCGCGGAGAGGCTGGAGAGGGGGCGTGGGGGCGGGGGGGGCGGGGCGGGGAGAGGAGGTAAGGCGCTCTTTAGTTGAGAACGTGGAATGTGCCGTCGTCGAGTCGTGTCGAGGCTGACTGCCCCGTGTACAGCACGCTTCACCACTTCGGCGGGAGGAATGCTTGTTTTTGTTCGCGTTGTGGCCACGGAAGGCGTCCGCGTCAGCTTGACCAGAGTGGCCATCGGAACGGGTTTTGATGCCAAACCAACAACAACGCATACAGATATAAGCGGGTGCTGAGTGGCGATCGTTTGATTTCTAGTGTCAAGACAGCAACAACAACAACAACAACAACCCGTACGTGCGCCTTTTTGTGGTGTTAGGTGTTGCCGGGGATTCCGAGGGGGCAAAGGAGGAGCGGTGGTCGTTGGCGGCGGTCTCGAAGCGGCTAGCGGCGAACATGCCGGCAAAGCCACGAAAGGCAGCGGCGAAGAGAGCGGCGCAGGCGGCGGCTGGGGCGACGTCGGAGAAGGGGAAGAAGGGGAAAAGGGCGAAAAAGGCGGCGGCGGGCGGGGGAGGGGGGGCGGCGCTCATGGACAAGGCGCGGGGGAGCATGCCAAGGGCAGAGCTTAGCAAGGGAAAGAAGAGACGCTAGTTTCCGGATTGTAATATCTCCCGACATTGACTTATTTCCGGATTGTTCGCGGAAACACCCCCTCTCTCTTTCGCTTGTTGCGGTTCGGTCTGTGTGTGATTGACGACGCCGTGCGTGTCTGGTTGTCGCTGATGTCGGCGAGTACTTGGCGGGCCGTGCCCCAGCTGTTCCAAACCGTTTTGTAGCTATTGGCCGTTGAGGTATGTTGTTTTGCCGTGCTTGACGCGTTTCGTGCCCGAGCTTTTGGTACGAATTTTTTACTTTAGTGCTTTCGGTGTCCAAGCGTGTACATAGAAAACCTGCGCGTCCCAGATCGCGAGCGAGGGCATGCATGCTTCAGAGGCAGAGGCAAAACTATTACCGTCCAACGCTGTTTTTTCTTTTTGGTCTCCCTTGCGGGTGTTCCTTACCAAGCAGGTCTTGCCTGTGGGTGGCCCGAACGACAACAACACTGTCACCACAGCCGTCGCACGCCGTACAGCACACACGCTCAACTCTTCGAGTTCTTGCGGGGATAACGCTCCACTTCAATGACAATGATGTTGCAACTCGATCGGCAGGAAGTCGCTTTGTGGAATGTATTCACACTTACTTCTGATTCCTCCAAGAGCAAGCGCCTAAGGATATCTTACAATTTCCCCTCAGACATTGGAAGACACAACGAATGTCCTCAAATCGTTCCCCGATAAGGGGCGTTTGTTCCGAGGTCATCTGTAAACGTTAACGTTGACGTTGGTTCATGCCACGGAGGAAGAACGGTTGCCAACGCGCAGTGGCGCCAGGTTGTTCTAAGCAACTCCGTCGCGCACATTCCCAGTGCACGGTCGATGATACAACGTGCTTTATGCTGGTGTTCACCGTTTCCGCCCCAGTTCTCTCGTTTGTCATTGGCAACTAAACACGACTCTTGGTCCCGTCGTCGAAGTGCGTGTTATGGCACGGGGGTGCGATCGTTTTTTAAATCGTTCCTGCTTATCGCACCCAGGTACCGTAACACCGATGGGTGCCATGACACCGATATCGGAACGGTGCGGAAATGCAACGAAATCATTCTAGATTTCCAACGCACCCCCGGTGCGATGACACCGATGGGTGCAATCTACGCGAACATCTGGATAGATGGATTTACATACCTGAAAGGAATGGTGCCCCAATTGACCAGCCGAGCGCTACATACTGTTCAAGCCCAAGCAGCACGCAAGTTTACGTCCCAAGTAGGTTTAATATGTCGCACCGGGTGCAGTAACTAACACCGAATCAACGATGGGCGCCATGACACGCACATATACGGTACTGACACTCGCGCAGGTCAAAAACGACAGGGGTACCCAACCCCTAGTACTGTAGTAGATGCCCCCCGAACACATACTGGCTAGTCCTGCCGCAGCCACGCCCAAATAAAAACTCCTCCGATACGTAGACTCGCCTTATAAGGCTTTGCTGGTATCCCTCCCATGCTTGCCGATTTTTCGGGGTCGTAACAAGCGACGAAAACTCAACCCCGATGGCTGGGCGGGGGGTTGTTATGAAGGGGGGGCGGAATCCGACGATTACGGCATCCCGCGCCAATGGTATGAACCATCTGGCGAACGCGCTGCTGCAGCGCCAGGGCCTTGCTTTGCAAGCGTTTCCCCTGTCGAGGGCTCCCCCTGTACTGCTGTACGTCGTGAATAACACAGCAAGAACGCTGAGATCGAGAAGCTCATCAATACAGAGTCGAAGCAACCGCTTCCACGAAGCCGCTGTCGCGACAGAAAATTTAACTCATACGTTTTCTAGAGCAAATGATCGCTGACAGAAAAGAAAACGACGCCGAAGCACATTCTATTCCACTGCCATGAGGGTGATGGGTCGTCCTTACTGGCAGGCCCTTGATTCCCTCTCAAGCAGCCGCCCTTTTTTGTCGACGGGGGATAAGGGTAGGTGTTCGTGGCGATACCGCCCTCAGCGGTTGGTGTCAGACTGGGTACTCAGTTACCCCAGGAATGGTAGATGAAGGAAAGCAATCGTGTACTACAACACGAACAAGCCTCGCACACGCCAGCGGGTCACACGCGCGTGTGCGTTCAGGGACACACACACACCAACTACACCTACGACAAGGAGCGCTCTCACCCCATAGGCAAACAACAGGAGCGCACCGTCGTGTGCTCCCCCGGGGGGACCGTCCTTGAACCCTAACCGCACACATACCCATCACGCCACATACTTCCCATACGCGTATCCCCCACAGATGACGCACAGACGGGACTAAAATCCAAGTTCCACAACAACAAGAGGGATTGATCTGTCGTTCAACTCCGCCCGCGACAGCAGCTGAAGAAATAACAACGCTACCGCGGAGCCTCGCCGCCCTACCCTCTCTGCGGCGCCATCTCCACCCCCAGGTCCCTCCGCACCAGTTCCAGCGGCTGCTCCCACCGCTTCTCGTACCACACGCACACCAGGGGCCTTCTGGCTCTCCTCCCCGCCCGGACGGCCCACGGGATGAACGTACGCGCCAGCACCTCACGGCTCCCCCGCCACTTTCCACCGCCGCCGCCGCCGCTGCTGCTGTCGGTGGAAGAGGGGGTTGCTGGTGGTGCCGGCGGGGGCTCTTTGCTTGGGAGGGCGAGGGGGCCCAGCACCGCCGACAGGGCGCACACGGGCAGCCCCGTCTGTACGAGCTCGAACCACTTCAGCGCCAGCTCTCCCTCGACCGTCGCGGGAAGGCCGGTGAGCGCGTGCCAC